GCTTTCTGCTCCCATAAAGATTTACAGCCTCAGAAACCCTGTACAGGGTCGCTATGAGGCAGAACCAACTCCATGGCACATAACCACCACCACTCAGACATGGTGGGTTGTAGGCGTGTCTAGGAATTGACCACAAATTCTATACACAAGGAAGGAACCATAATCCTAGCAATCACCTTTGACCTCATGTGTTCACCATTTGTGGTGCTGTAGGATCAGTACCAGGTCCTGGTGTGGCGCTGTGGGCTAATGCATCAGACTTCAAAGTCATTTGAACTGCAATGTCAGTGGTTCAAGCTCACCAGATGCTCCTTGGAAACCCTATACAGGGTCACTATGGGTCAGAATTGACTTGACGGCACTTAACAACAACAACACCAGGATAAATACAGCACTCCAAGGCTGCTTTGAATTGCAAGGTCGGCAGTTCCATTTCAACCAGCCGCTTCTTGGAAACCTTATACAGGGTCACTATGAGTTGGAACCCATTCAACGGCACTTAACAACAATGATCAAAAGGAGTCCTTACATGGCACAAATGGTTAAGCACTTGACTACTAGCTGAAAGGTGCCTCAGGTGCCAGGCCTGATGATCTGCTTTTGAGAAATGGTCCGTTGAAAACCCTGTGGAGCCCAGGTCGGCTCTTTACATACGGAGTCACCATGAGGTGGAATGAAGTCAACAGGATCTGGGTAATAATGACACCTGCCCTCCACCCACATTGTCTTTTGGTTTATGGCTTCCCTGAATCTAATGTTGTGCATAGGAAGAATCAGTCAATCCTAGCGTCTTCTTGTATTAATCTTTTTGTTGTTGTTGTTGTTGTGGTAATAAAATATGCTTTTTGAGTCCAGAGGAGGGTGATTTGTAATTTATGGGTTTCTCTCTAGAAATTACAACCAGAACCTAATTTTAAAAATCAAATTGGTTTCATCTAATTGAATTTGGAAATTGCCTCATAAACACATACTGGATTATAAATGTCTTCAAAAGTGAGGTTCTTGTGCTCACTGTCTGGGGCAGGATTGGGCTGATCCCAGCGTGGGAGGGGCTCTAGATCTCTGCTCAAGGACATACCCTCCCAGCAAGTGCTCAGACTTCCTACAGATCAGTGTGGGTTACAGCTGAGCTTCTGAACCTTCAACGCCCATGTGAACTACCAGGGGATAGTGGGAAAGCGCAGATTTGATTTCAGTGGGTCTGAGATGCTGAATTTCAAACAGCTCCCAAGTCATGCTGATGCAGATGCTGATGCTGATGCTGATGCTGATGCTGCTGGTCCTTGGACATAATGAGCAGCAGCAAAGGGCAAGACATTCACATCTGCATTCAGGAGACAAGACTTGCCCTCTTGGGTATTGACCTTGGTCTATTCATTTCATCTGCGGCTCAATTTGCTCATTTTTATGAGGTGGTTGTTGATGTTGTTAAAGTACTATCAAGTTGGTTCTGACTCATAGTGCCCCTTAATAGGGTTTTTAAGGAGTGGCTAAAACACTGACCTTTTGGATAGCAGTCCAATCCTTACCCTATAGAGCCACACCAGGACTGCTATATGAGGATAACAGTGGCCATTTCCAACTGTTGCTAGGTGTCAAACACTGTACTAAAGACAGATTTTATTTGATCCTCACACAACACTGTGCGGTAAGCTGCTTTATTACCCTGGATTTGAGATGAGAACACTGAATTTCTAAAATGGAGTTGGTAGACCACTCCTCTTCTGAAAAATGCTAGATTTAGTGATGCAAAACTTTTTCCAAAGGTGTTTTCATAACACCCTGTACACATTGGCTTTTCTCCTGTAGAGAGATGCTGGGTCTGGCTGATTAATCCTGAATATTTCTTTCTCATCAGCCAGTCCTTGACTTTCTTTCCCAGAATTCATCCTTTCTTACAGAGGAGCTTTCTTCCCCAGCCCACTCCCAGGAGGTATATCATGGGCATATGTTTCTGCAGAACCATTCTTTGGCCTCTATCCACCCATGGGCCTGTACATGTTTCAGCCTGGGCACACATGTTCTGTCCCTCCTCAAACTCTCTCCAGCATCCCTGAAGCACTGATGACCACCCTCACTCTACCCATGAGGAAATCAAGGCTTGGGGCAAGGAGATATCTGCTCAAGGTCACTGGAAACTATGGCAGAGGTGTGGAATTCTAGGCCCTTTCCTAAGCACTGTGATGACACTGTAGTGTCACCTGTATCACAAGCTCATGGTGTTTTTGAACATAAGGGTTGGGAGTGTGGGCATCTCCTCTTCTTCCCCTTAGTCAAATCTTAACTAGATCCCATCATTGGATTTGTGCTGCTGTTTTCATCATTGCCGTCTGTTTCCACATTTGTTGTTGGATGTCTATGTAATCCTAGTTGTGTACATTTTCAGAAAGTCATGTTATACTGGCTTAATGGGCACAGTCCTGCCTAAAGAGAGGCTGCACCATCTCTATGATAAAGCCTTGTTAATGAATTCTGGGAAAAGGTACACTGTTGTCACCTGGCTATGCCAATAACACACACCTTGGGCACAGATCAATTTAAATCTTGAGCATCCTATATCCTCAAGAAAGAGCATGACATTGAGATTCTCTGAAGCTCAGAAATTAATACAGGTGGGCTGAGCATTGGGCTTCCCAGATGAACTGTTATGGTTTGCCAGGCTTAGCTGTTGTCTGATGTACCAGGATGATCGGACTGTCTGGGTCCTGACTCAATAGCTGAAGAGATCAATAATGGTCATTCTCAGGGCACAGTGTACCCAAGTTTCTGATGCTCTAGAGAATGAAACAGCTCAGTTGTGTGCCCTTGTATTTCCTGCCAATTGTATTGCCAAGATACCATGCAGAAGTTGTAACTTACCTACGTTTAAATTTTCCATGGGGGTCCACAGCCAGCAGGTTTTCACCAACGTCAGGCTGCTGTGAAATGAAAAAGTCAAGCTAACCAATGCTTTCAGCAGTTCCCTTACCTCATAGAGAGTGATGACCCCATTGGTCTCGTTGGGAGGTTTCCACTGGATGTAGATCTTCTCCTCAAAGGGACCCCCTTGGATGGATTCTAGAGGAACAGCTCCTGGAACTATAGAAGAGACAAAACATAAACTTGAACTAACCTTCCATCTCATCATTTCCCCAGTCTCATTACCCTACAATAAGAGTTGGTCAAGTTTTTCTGTGAAGGACCAAATAGCAAATATTTCTGGCTTTTTAGACCATACAGTCTTAGTTGCAACTATTCAGTTCTGCTGCTGTAGTACCAAAGCAGACAGAGACAATACATATCAATAAATGGACAGGGCTGTGCTACGGTAAAGTGCACCGGACCCAAGCCATGGTATTTTCAATAACCTCATATGCATGCGAAAGCTGGACAGTGAATAAGGAAGACCATAGAATTAATGCGTTTCAGTTATGGTGTTAGAGGAGAATATTGAAAGTACCATGGACTGCGAAAAGAACAAATAGATTTCTGTTGGAGAAAGTAAAGCCAGAATGCACCTGGAAGCCAAGATGGCCAGACTTCATTGCTCATATTGTTGTTAAGTGCCGTCGAGTCGGTTCCGACCCACAGTGACCCTGTACAGGGTTTCCGAGGGTGTAAATCTTTACGGGAATAGAAAGCCTCATCTTTCTCCCACGGAGCAGCTGGTAGTTTCGAACCGCTGACCTTAAGGTTTGTAGCCCGATTCGTAACCACTAGGCTACCAGAGCTCATCTCTCATACTTAGTACATAATTGTCAGGAGGGACCAGTCCCTGAAAAAGGGTATCATGTCTGATAAAATAGAGGGTCGGAAAATAAAAGAAGACCCCCAACTAAATAGATTGGTACAATGGCAGAAGTGAGGGGCTAAACTGCAGCAAGGATTGTGAGGTTGGTGCAGGACTGGGCAGTGTTTCATTCTGTTGTGCATAGGTACTGACTTGATGGTACCTACCAACAACAATGCTTCAATAAAACTTTATTTCCAAAAACAAGTGATGGGCCAAATTTGGCTCAGGGGCCAATTTATCTTAGAAGGCTATGCCTTTTAAACTGCAGACTGAGTAATTCTGACCAGGGCTGAGAGGACAACAGCTAGCCTCAGTCTTGTAAACTAGTGGGAATCTGGAATACGGTTTCTGTCTTGTAGTTGGTATTTGAGAAAAAAAAAATGAACTTTGTATCATCATACTTAAACCTGCCATGTTTTTCCTAATTTGGAGAATTGCATGTTGAGTTTCCAAACTAATCCCTACATGCAATGGGATCTGTGTGCCCTGAATCCCCAATCCACTTAAAATAAAATCATCCTTGCCCCAAGAAAACATCTAGCCAGCCTCCTCGCTCACTCTCCAATGACTGGTGCATGAAAAATGTTTAACAGCTATTTGCGGGTTGGAGAGATTGGGGTCCATGAATGGCCTATGCCAGCATTTTGTCCTCGTGAGCACAGCCTTTCTTGGGGCTCCTTTTGTAGCCAGGTGAGTCTTCAGGCCAGCATTCCTGCTGCTGGTATCTGCCACCATTATGACAGGATGGAAGATTCTACAGCACACAATAAATGCTACCCCAGTCTCCCAGTGAGGACCCCCTAGGGAGTCATGAATTCATGTAAATTATTACCAGACCTATTTATATATTTTTGGCCTTTTTCAAACAGATACTTTTACTAAGCACTGGCTTTGATCAGAATTTTGCATACATTATCTCATTCAAGTCCTAAAACAGCTCCAGCTCGGCCACGATGGATGTGTGCTCTCCTTTATGCTGATACGGGAACTGGGGCGAACAGAAAGAAATAGCTGGCTCAAGGTCATCCTGATCTTAAGTTGGAAAGAAGGAATGAACACCTGCCTCTGAGCTTCCAAGCATGGACTCTTAATCATCATGTGATGCCTCTCTACATAGAGCCTTGGCCATGTGCTGCAATCAGTTCACTATTGTTAAATTAAAATAGATTTCGTTTTTCTCATTATGGACAGGATACCCAGAATTTGTTGAATATTAAGAATATTCAATAAAGATGTAAAAAAGGAAAAGAATGAAATCATTCATCATCTCTGTGCCTAAAGATAGCAAACACTTGCATTTTTGATGTACATTTTCTAAGAATTTTTTTGCCTATATATAAACATATTTTATTTTTAAAAATTTACCTCACGTAGTCCATATTGCGTTGTCACCTTCTTCTATCACTAAAGAAATCACAGGCTTGTTGTTGACTCTTAAATGTGCTTTGGGAACAATGCATGTTCTCAGCTGTCTAGAGGGGAACAAGCCCTATTCTAGTTACCGGCCCTTTAATTCTTCAACAATAAAACTGACTTGGATTCTAAGTCACACTGTAGTTAAGTGACTTTACAGGTAAGTATTTGTATGCAACTCTGCTGATGTCCTGAAGATAAATTCCTGGAAATTAATTCAGTGGGCCAAAGCAGGTAAACAACTTTATTTTTTAAGACTTTCAACACAGATTTCCAAATGGTCTTGCAAGAAGTTTGGCATAATCTGGGGGCCTCAACATCAGAACAAACCTAGCCAACAAATTCTTATCAACACTGACTATTCTTTTAAAAATTACAGGCCTATTTTATATGTGGGGAGAAGTGCATATGTATTTGTGTTCACGTGTGTAAAGCTATGTGCCTAAAACACTGAAAGACATTGGTGGTTGTGGTAGTGTGCCGTGGAGTTGGTTCCATATAGGGTTTTCAAGGCTGTAAATCTTTATAGGAGCAGAAAGCCTCATCTTTCTCCTGCAGAATGGCTAGTAGTTTCGAACTATTGACCTTGAGATTAGCAGTCCAATTGACAAGCACTATGCTACCAGAGCTCCTTCTTGTTAAGTGCTGTTGAGTCAATTCTGTCTCATAGCAACACTGTATAGGGCTTCCGAGGAGCAGCTGGTGGGTTTGAACTGCCGATCTTGTGGTTCATGATCCAGTGCTGATCCTACAGTGCCATGCTCCTTAGATGACTGAGTGAGAAAAATGACCTATTTTTTAAAAGGATCTGGTATCATGTATATTTTGCCTTTCACTAATTTTTTTTTCATTTCACTTTCCTAAACCATGTTTGTGAATTGGGAGATAGAATATGTTCAAGTGCAGTTGAGTCGAATCCAACTCATAGTGACCTTACGCACAACAAGAACAAAACATTGCCCAGTCCTGTGCCAGCATCACATCACTGATACATCTGAGCTCACTGTCGCTGCCACTGTGCCAATCTACCTCACTGGGGGGGGGGGGGTTCCTCTCTTTTGCTGCCCCTCCTCCACTTTACCAAGCATGATGTCCTTCTTCAGGGACGAAGTCTTCCTAACAACATACCAATAGTACAAGAGGCAAAGTCTTACCATCCTCGCTTTAACGAGCATTCTGACTGTACTTGTTCCAAAACACACTTGTTTGTTCTTCTGCCAGTCATTGCCATTTTCAATATTTTTCGCCAAAACCATTATTTCAAATGTATCAATTCTTTGGTCTTTCTTATTCATTGTCCAACTTTCACATGCATAAGAGGTGATTAAAAATTCTGTGGCATAGGTCAGGGGCCTCTTAGTCCTCAAATAAACATCTTTGGTTCTTAACACTGGAAAGAGGACTTCTGCAAGAGACTTGCCTAATGCACTTGCAGGGCATACCCTTTGGTTGGTTGATGATGCATGGAGGGGACTGTAACCATGGCAATGAAACAATTTATGATAGAATGAATGTAAAACTAATGTTCTCCCATGTAAAGTATCATATAATTCACAATAAAAAAAGACTTGCCTAATGCAGTATGTCTTTTGATTTCTTGACTACTCCTTCCATGATTACTGATTATGTTGTTGTTGTTCCAACTCATAGCGACCCTGTACAGGGTTTCCGAGGCTGTAAATCATTATGGGAGTAGAAAGCCTCATCTTTCTCCTGAGGAACAGCTGGTAGTTTCTAACCGCTAACTGTGAGATTAGCAGCAGCCCAATTCGTAACCACTACACTACCAGAGCTCCTTATGGATCCTGGCAAAATGAAGTCTTCCACAACCTCAGTCTTTGTCCATTTATCATGATGTGATTTATTGCTCCAGTTGTGAGTTTTGTTGAAGGAATGTCTTCATCTTCATCAATAAGTATTTTAAGTCCTTTCTGCTTTCAGCCAGCAAAGTTGTGTCATCTGCATATGCCAAGTTGTTAATGAGTTTTCCAATCCTGATACCACATTCTTCTTATAATCTTGCTTCTTGGATTATTTGCTCAGAATAGAGAGTGAATGGTGGTGGTAGTTATGTGCTGTGGAGTCAGTTCCGACCCATAGCAACCCTGTACAGGGTTTCCAAGGCTGTAAATCTTTACAGGAGCAGAAAGCCTCATCTTTCTCCCGCGGAACTGCTGGTAGTTTCGAACTGCTACCTTGCGGTTAACAGCGCTCCAAATGATGCAACCCTGATGCACAACTTTCCTGATTTTCACCATTCAGTTTGCTCTTGTTCTGTTCTGATGAGTGCCTATCAGTCAACGCACAGGTTTCTCATGAGCACAGTTATGTGTTCTGGAATATCCATTCTTTAAACTGTTATCAATAGTTTGTCATCATCTACACAGTTGAATGCCTTTGCAAAGTCAATAAAGCACAGGTAAACAACTTTCTGGTATTCTTTGCTTTCAGTTAAGGTCCATCAGACATCAGCAATGATATCCCTGGCTACAATTATTTCTAAATTATTTTCAGTAAACCTGCCATGCATGTGATATTAATGATATTGGTAGTTGATTTCTGCATTTCTTTGAGCCTTCTTTCTTTGAAATGGGCACAAATATGGCTCTCTTCCATTCAGTTGGCCTGAGAGCTGTCTTCCAAATTTCTTGGCATAGATGAGTAACTGACTCTAGTACGGCTTCTGTTTGTTGAAAGATTTTAGTCTGTGTTTCATTAAATCCTAGAGTCTTATTTTTTGCTAATGCCTTCAGTGCAGCTTGGAATTCTTCCTTTAACACTGTAAGTCCTTGATCATACACAACCTCCTGAAGTGGTTGAGCATCAACCATTGCTTTTTGGTACAGTGGCTCTGTGTATTCCTTCATCTCCTTTTTTATATTTTAAGTTTTAT